TAATGAGCTCAAATCCAGCCCCCGGGTAAGCGTAGTACCCGCGTACGGGCCCCCCAAAATTTTTCCTGCGTAAATTCATAACTCTGGGTTCTGAGATGCTAGAAAGCTGAAATCTTACCCCAAAATTTTTCCCGCGTAAATTCATAACTTGGGGTTCTGAGTTGCTAGAAAGCTGAAACCTTAGGGGGTTGTTCCCTGTCCAAGTGGTATTAACGAGTTCAAACCCTGCCCGCGGGTAAGCGTGGTACCTAAGTACAGGCCCGTGAAAAGTTCGTTCCGGGTAAGTTACTTACTCGAGAACGTGAGATGCTAGAAGACTGGGATTTTGAGGGGATGTTTCCTGACAGTTCTGGCGGCCAATCCGAAATTCTTTCAGCTAGAAGCATCTGCCGAAAAAACCGATGTCGGTAGCGGCAAAAACTGTGGGGAACTCTGCAAAAAACGCATCTTCGCGCGGGCAACCCGTGCGTTGGCCATTTATTTTACGGTTACTTAGAAGCAAGCTAACGGCGGATCTGAATTCCTGGCTTAAACCAGTACCAATTTACCACTGAAACGAATAAACGAATCTTGCCGGCGTTTGAACAGCTGTGTTACGATGCATTCTTTATAGCTTGTGTGCAAATCATCTTTTATTAATCAACAAAAAGTATTCATAGTTTCACAAACATAAAATATTAAAGTCACAGTTCATATCGTATTTCACCTCTTGTGAAAGACAAAAACATATCACAAGAGTGAGGAGTAAGTAGCATTTTGCTAATAACAGCTGGGAAAGCCTTGACAATGTTTGAGGGTTATTCCTCAAGCAAAGGGAATGTAGGGGAACGAGAAATGGTCCTGACATGCGCAAGGCATTTTTCCGACCGCATGCTAATGAAAGATGCCAAAGATACCACCAGTTTCTATGCTGTCGTTGATTTTGACAAACTCAAGCCTCACAGTATTCAACATTAAGGCTGGCAGTGAACTCATCACATTGTGTTTCAAATATACTTTTAAAAAATTATAATACCAATTAGTGCAAAGAATGTTACATTTCTTCTGAAAAGTGAAAAAGACAGCTAGACCCTCTCTTTGCAATTTCGCTTCATTTTTCATAAATCAAAATATTCGGGGACTTTAGACTACTAATAGTTATACAGTTCTCACTTCTTTAAATTTCTCTAGTTATGTTCGGCTCTTTCCACTTCGACCCGCTTCTCGCATTCAACCTGGTTAAGGGATAAAACACAGACTGCATCCAAAGATGTCTTCTTGCGCACGGTTAGGCTGAGCCTTGTCTCTTGTTCTTTTATTTTCTGAGGTGCTGATGGCCGAAGAATGGAAAAGACGTAGATGCGCACGCGCCAAAATCAATTCCATCGTCTGACGTGAATTGCGTCATAATACACTAGCAATGAATGCTTTTTGGGAGTAACAACATGTGGATCATTCATTTTTCATGGAAGCTAGCTTCGATCAATCCTTAGCTAGTATATCAAAAACAATGTACCTCACTACAGCATTCTCTAAGAGTGAGCGGAAAAAAATTATCATAAGCAAGAAAAAAAGGGTTGTACTCTTCTCAGGTGCTAATAATTCACTAAAAAAAGCCTTTATAACAGAAAATTGGCACTGGCGTTTTTATAATAACAATAATACATGACTAAATACTGGGCAAAAAACACATTGGCTCTAATTTTTAATTCCAACTTTTATTAATTAGTGATTTCAATTTCGTTTCATATTTACTACCTTATTTTTCAAAATTGTCCAAACAATTCACAAGATTTGCTGTAAATGGTTTTGCTGGGATGTGCCCAGCTATACCAAATTTGATACTCTAAAATCCAATGGGTTCATACTGTTATTCAGTTGCGATGTATTCGTTTCCCAAAATCAATTGTTACTTCGAAGAAATCTAGTATTTTTTTTAAAAATTTTGAGGATTTCTGATACCAAATGGAGTTTGTTATTTTGCACAGAGTGCATACAATTAAACATTTTCCGTCCTTTTTTTTGAAAAAATTGCAACAAGTCGTTAGCAAATTATTGGAAGTCACGTTCAGAGGATGTGAACTTTGAGGGCATCACCCTGATTACTTCCGTTGATTTGTACACAGTACCATTCGATACAGCCACCCCACTTCCCCGTCTGAGTGGACGTTCCGGTTTCTCGGATATCGCCTTGTTCTGTAAAATAGAATTTCCTTAGCGGTGTACATGAAAGTGATCCAGAATTTTTAAAAACAAAAAACTCTTCCTAATTGCGCTTCTTCTGAAAAACCACAGTCGCAGGGAGTTTCTGGAAATCTTTTTTCTGTGTGAATAGCTATAAAAACCAATCAAAACCCAGAAAATGATTGGGTTTTCATCTCGTCTTTCTAACGACATATCCACTCCTTCTTTCAGAACATACAGCGACTTTACGAGCATCTCCATTGTACTGCAGGCATAGCTCACTGGTCATCGTTATTAGCATTTTCATCTCCCTTTAAGCCACTTTGTTTGGCGCTCTTTTTAAAATAGTTGCATAAATAATGCGTTGTTTGTTAAATTACATCGCTTATTACGTTGCTGATCCGTAACGTCTATCACGACTTGATTCCCGTAGATCCACCATACGTCGACAGAAACAGAAATTCGTATACAGATGCAAAACCTAACACGCTGCATATGCGTGTAAAGACCTTTTACTTAAGCGCATGCATATAAATTTTCATTGGTTTTAATAATTTTTCCCATTAATATAAATTTATGAAATTTTCCTTAGTCATCTTCCATTTTTTATATCAAAAAATTTTGTTTAATTTATGCC